TGTTTCGTTAAAAGTTATCCTTCAAGTACTTTTACATGCATGAAAAAAAGAAAAAAAGTTTATTTCCAATTTCAAAAGTATCCACCGAAAACGATAAAACATGCGTTCCGCATAGCGTATGAAAAATGTAAATCACGTAACGAGCAAAGTTCCAACTCGTCAAAACAAAAGTAATTAAAGCGCAATTAATTAGAGGCAAGAGTTTTATCCGTAATTAAAACGAATCGCGCGTCACAGATAGCTATGTGTATATGTTGCGTAAAACAGCCAACGCCAGCGTCGTTAAAACGTGACGACGCATTAAAAAAATGAAAAAAAAAAAAAAAAAAAAAAAAAAAAAAAAAAAAAAAAAAAAAAAAANGTCTAGTTCAAAACTGCAGTCGTTTCAAAACAGTAATTTCTGCATTGGGTGATATTTTAATTCAATTCCCTTACATAAAAATAATCTACATATTTTCTAGTAATTTATTTTCTGTGAATAAAAAAATGCCAAACAATGAAATATGTTGCGTAAGATAGCCAACGCCAGCGTCGTTAAAACGTGACGACGCATTAAAAAAAAAAAAAAAAAAAAAAAAAAAAAAAAAAAAAAAAAAAAAAAGCGAAGAGCACTGAAGGAGAGAATGGCTCACTGGAACTGCAAAACGGCGCATGGTTTGCGCATGAAATGACGAAAAAATGAGGGTAAAAAAAAGTTTCAACGAGTTGAAGAACGACTCGTGCAAAAAAATTTTTTTTTTTCATTTCTCCCCAGTTTTTTTTCCACGGGAGTAGAAAGAATTTTCCACGAGCGTATCTGTCGAGCGAGTGGGTGGGCATTCTTTTACAGCAGGAGGACACTCGAGACATTTGTTTCGTGACATGTGTTAACTAAATAGAAATAGTTTTCGGATTCCCGTCTTATAGGTACTACCGACTCACCTTTTGTACGCTCTCTCATCAGCACTGCGCTATAAGGTGGCAACTTTCAATCTGTACCCCGAACTACTCTGCAAGGACTCTCGTATCGATTTCGTCACGTACCGCTGCCAGGAGCAGCTTCGAAGTTTCAGAACAAAAAACAAAACCAATTGTACGACTGCACTTTTCTCCCCGTCGCACTTCATTGGCTTCTAGCTTCGTTACGTCACAAGACGGAAAATATCGTGAAACATGGTAACAATAAACAAAAACAGCGACATGAAGAAAAAATCTTTCGTAAGTTCCTTTGCACTTTTTTCCTTCCCTCTTTCGTATTAGGTATCTTTGGTCGAACGAGGCGTGATAAGAGAACTTGTCACGATTCCGAAGACTGTTTTGTTTGGCGATAAATGTGAAGCTTGATGCTGATGGTTTGATGAGCCTTTGGGTGACTTGCATTAGTAATAAATAAGTACGATTGCATTAGTAATTTTTTTCTCTTTATTCGAATCATTTTCTTTGTTCAATCATCGAAATACAGATCTTTAAAAGTGTCTTTAGGCAATTTTTTCATACGTGGCTTTCAAATGACTTTGCTGATCTGGCGTATAGTACGACGAATGGCGTGGAAAGTGTTAATGTAGAATTTTTTTTTTGTACGTAGTGAAAATTTATAAACAATCTTCTGTCTAGATTTAAACATTAGCATTGAAAGTGCATTTCATAAATACTTTTTCGTCTTTTTGTTAAAAATTGGTTTTAACAATTCAAATAAAGTGAAAGGGAAGAAAATATTAAATGAAATGAATCACAAAAAGTACAAGATCAAGAAAGGTCTTGACATGTGATTGTGTACGAAAAGATATGAAACATTGGCAAGATGAAGGATGATTTAATATATTATTTTAGTGTAGTTTAAGGCTCAGAATAGAATAAATTAATAATTTTTATTCGTATATTTATGTACAAAATTGAATTCACAATATTACATATTCGGTATAGTTCGTCTGCTGGGAGAAAAATGAATAATAATCTCTTGAATTTTAACATGTCACTCGTACACAACACATGAATAATAGATACATGATAAACACATAAATAATATGTATTATGGTCCTACCGAAGTGAAGACACAGTGATCAGTGCAGGTAGTGCACATTACGGTAATTCACATACTGATACTCACGCAACACATCTGAATTTCAATACTTTGACTAACGTGAACTAAGATAAGTGAGTTTTAAAAAATCGAAGGAAAGAATAAACAGTCTCATCTCGTTCGTACAGTACAATGGCGTACCGGGAAATACTATGTGAATAAATTTTTTTTTCTCTCGTATAGTTTAATAAACATTCATTTTCCTAACGGGAGAATTTAATAAATTTTCATCAAGGAGGTTCAGTACACTTCATCAAAAGTTTTTAGAGGCAATAAATGTTAAAAGAGTTATTCATGAGGTGGAGATACCCTACTACTACACTAAATTTACATTGAAGATGAGTTTGATGACAAGGTTGATGGGAAAAATTGCAAGAAAAAGCTATTTGAAAAAATATCGAGCTACTAGAAGAACGTTAATGGTTAATTCTCTTTTTTTTTTTTTTTTTTTTATAATACAAAATTATATTTTCGATTGTACTACGGATTCGATATGAAGGCGTATATAATCAAAGAGAAATAAATTGATAAAGAAAGTAACTACAACAGTCATATTTTCAGGCATATTTTTCTTAGAATTAATAAATAGTACACAATTTTTTTTTCTTCAATGTTTATAATTATACGTACCACATTGTCTCTTTTTCATCGCTGAAAACTGTCCACGCAAAGTTTCGAGAAATTTTTTTTACAAAAAAGTGATGTAATGTTTTTAATTTAAACTTTGTCAAATATCTCTTAAAATTTTAAAGTGTCAAACGCGACTCCTATCACGCAACTTATGATCAACACAGCAAGCAAATCCAGCTCAATAATTTTCCAACGCAGTTTTGCGATGAAATTTCATTAATGTCAAAAAAATAAACAAATAAATATGGTACCGAACAATAGTAGTTAAGTCACCAAAAAGGTAGAGCTGCATCTCTCTGTGGGTGCATGGGTGTATCTGTACTACACAGAGAAAGCATAAAACACGAAACTTCAAGATCCCTGAGAACTTGAAAATTTACTCAACGCATTTCAAGATTGTTGATACATACATACATCCATGCACATACACTATATACACGTAGTACAACGCCAAGTGTTAAATTAGCTCAAGAGAGCACAGGAAGTTAAAGCCCACGCCATATAATGGGTTTGTGTTCTTGCTCGTTCGCTCGAGCGCAAGCTCTTTTCATCCCCCCCCATCTCTCTCTCTCTCTCTCTCTCTACTGTAGCGAAACATCGTGAACTTGCACACTTGCTCCGCTAATGCTCCGAGTTTTAGTTGTGCCCGCTCTCCTCTGCACAATACTGCACTGTACACCACTTGGTCGATCTGTGCATACACACGCGCTATCCCTCTCTGTATGGGAGAGAGCACATTTGTGGCAGCTATACAGCCTCCAACTGTATAATATACTTTGTAACCATTTCAGTATTTTTTATACTTACACGACGAGAAATTTTGTAGCATCCATTCCAAGGAGCTTAGAAAACTTTACCATGTGTAATGGAACATGACAACATAGTTTGTTGGTCCAGGCAGTGATGTGTACTTATTAACGAGTTGTAATTACTTTAGTTTAATTGGGTGTCATACATACAAAGTATTCTTGAAGTATTTCAATTTGAATGAAGTAACGAGAAAAAAATTTTATCAACTAATTTAATTTCAGATTGGAATTTGAAACAATTCAATTGAAAACTATTTTTAGTACGTATGGAGTAGTCTAGTTCAAAACTGCAGTCGTTTCAAAACAGTAATTTCTGCATTGGGTGATATTTTAATTCAATTCCCTTACATAAAAATAATCTACATATTTTCTAGTAATTTATTTTCTGTGAATAAAAAAATGCCAAACAATGAAATGCTATCTAATTAACTTTTCTAATTTCAATGGTACTAGGAAATTTGAGTTTCATGTCCACCCGTCAAATATGATTGGAGCTAAAATAATTAGGATAAACACTGAAACAAGTAATAAGCTTTTCACACGAAAATTCATGTACTTTCATTACTACAGCCAATAAATCAAACGCTATTGTCTAAGATAAAGGAGGTTCAAAGATTTTCTCAAAATGCAGAGGAAGCAGTAAAACTTTACATCAATAAAAGAAGTTTCATCAATAAACAAATATCTTGAAAATATTTAAACAGTTAACACAGATTCGTTTTAATTTGAATAATTGTTGTTTAACGTTTCACTGATTTCTCTGCATTTTAAGAAAATTATTGAATCTCCTTGAAATCAGATGAAATGAGTAATGTGATTAAGTAGATCATTTCAATTAGTTGTATCCAAAAACGGAAATTACAATCAAATTACTTATCGTTGAGCCTTCAAAAACTTTGATTAATTTTTGCACAAATCCTTGTAAGATATAGCAAATTTTTTTTTAATAAATATTTTTTCAAATTACTGGTATTCATGTTTACAATTAGGCTGCCACGCCAATCTCAACTACATTTATATAATAATATCATAGTTTTTAGCAACTATTTATTTTTTACTTAACGCGTTACTTACTAAAATAGACTTTTTTGTCATTAACTTATTGCAATTGCTGCAAATACTTCATTTTTTTGTTATTACAAACAAAGTTTAATTCTACGTAGATTTTGCAATTATTATTTACAGCATATACCAGTTGACTTATTGTTAGACACATTAGCTTAGACTACGCACTTTACACTATTACCATCAATTTTCTTAGAAAACGTTTCTCTAGTATATGAAAAAGTTTCCGATTTGTTTGTAACATTTGATAACCGATATGATTAATAATTTTAAAAAATAACCAATGAAGTTAACTTATCACAATTTTACTGAATAAAGAGAAAGTCCTTCTGGTCTGTTACCATTTTACTCCACAATTGAGATAAAAATTATTATTTCGTCTATCTCCACCTGAAGATTAAATACGCTCTCTCTCACGCACACCCATAATCAACAAAGCCAGATAGTAATAGAGGAAGAAAAATTCCAGAATGCCCCGCAAGCTTCTACAATGAAAATTTCACGCGAGACAGGGCAGCTGTTCGTAATTGAGGCACATGCCGATGTTGTCCTCGGGCGAAGATCCGTTCTGCCCACCAGATCCAAAGGCCACCCTAATGTGGAACGGCAGTGCTGAAGTTTCCACACGGCAGGCTGATGCCCCGCTTCCACCTGGCGTTGCTGTAGCCGACATCATCGACTCCGTGGAGGTACTACCACTTCTACGCCCGCCTCCCAGATTCCTGGTGTCGCACAATGAGGTGCCGCAGTGCTCGAGGTCGCAGATGCCAGCTACGTCGTTGCCCGGCTGAAAGCACACGCGTGGAAATCACGTTAATATTGTTACTGGGACATGAGTTGATTATAACGACTCCAACAGCATGACTATGTGTGCATCATGTATCACTTGTACCCAAAATTAACCTGTTGAAATTCGATGCTATTGGCCGAGCTACTTGTACGAAGGAGCTTTAACCCACTCCTAGGACATGCATGGAGAGGGATGGATGGTAGCCAAGTGCCGAATTTCAGCTAGTCTACCTTGCTCGGCTATAAACTCCGCGCCAAGTACCCACTCGACCGCTTCCCCGACCTGTACGTACATATACGTATACATGTAGACGAGCTACACTTGTGGAGGACCCAACTGGTACGTGACACCCCTATATGTACCCCACAAACGCCTTTTCTGCTCCGCAGAGGACGACTTTTTCTCGACTTCTTATTCACTCGAGGAGCCATTTCTTGGGACTCCGATGGTCACGTGATTCATGATAGAGACTAGCATTGACGATCCCACGCGTACGGGTTGGAAAGACTTTTGGATGATTTTGGTTAGGTAAATTATACAAGAGTACACGCTCAATTGGGTAGCTCTGGATTAGTTTTACGCCTAAAGGGTGGTAAACAAGTAGTCGCATCTGAACTGTTTTTGAATAATAGTGCCAAACGGGTGGTTTTTTTGCCATTTAAGGTTTTGCGTGTGATAGGACTTTCATGATCCACTAGTTTGGATTTTCCACTCTGACCTCGTTAGATGCTGATTTTATGTCGAACGTTTGATTCGAGGATTGTGTGGAGGAAACACAGTGGCAAAAATGATTATGATTTGGTTGCACGTGACTCGATATGGTGAAGCTTTTTGACATTGTACGGAAGTTATTTGTGAAACTATATAAGAAATTGCCAATTTTGTCAAACTTTTCGTACAATATGTTTTTTTTCAAACTTTAAAATACTCCATAACCAGTGAATTTACTATACCGTTTAATTTTTAGGGTGACTTACACGTTATCTATTTTTTTTTTTCCTACGCGATATTGCAAGTAAATAAAATCTTAGTTGCGGGTTAACAAAAATCAAGCATCAGTTGTTATCGAAATAAAATCACAATAGTCGCAAACTTCCACGGAATTGTGTAGGACGAAATTATTAACTGACGCTGTGCATGCGATGTTGTACAAATTCACGACCGTAATGAGCCGAAATTCAAACTTCACAGTTTAGTTTCTCAAATGAGTTGTCCCTTGCAGGTAAAGTTTTTGAGCCACTCAAGACAAATTGCTCGAAACTCAATTAAAGTACAGGTGCGTGTAATTTCACGAGTCAAAGGAATGCAATGGCTCAGCGACAAACGCTCAAAGCTATTAAAATTGGGGACCTATTCATGGACACTTTAATATTATTTTACTGAAATCACAGTCCATGCATCAATGACTCCTAGATTCCTTCGACTGCGAGTAATGCGTTGTTTGTCCGTAAGAGGCCAAGCGAGTGCAGTAAAGCACGTGGTCACTTTAATTACAAAAGTTTGCGTCTCCCGAATGGACGGTTGCAAACAACTTTTTGCGGCAAAACGTTAGTGTCATTATTACAAGTGCTTTAGTTTCCAAAGTTGCAGAAGTAGGTAGCAGCAGCGTTATCTCGGCCAAAGCATCGGTCTTCGGTGGATACGCGGTTCGTACGAAGGAATGGGTTGCTGGGAGCGAAAAAAAATGCGCCGTGGCACTCGAAGGATGTAATTCACCCGATTGTCAATGATCGAGAGCGAGAGAATAGACGATCTGATGGAGCGTTAGTGCAGTTGATACGATTCTCCACTGCGATGAGTACACGGCAGCAGTAGTGATTAATCCCTGCCTGTTACTATACAGAGCGAGTTGCCTGAACTTCCTAGTACTACGTATTTGAACCTCTTCACGTCGATCCGATTTCATCTGGGGACGATCAATGTACTCTTCTTTCACGTATGCTACAATGATTCTAAAAAAAAATAATAAAACAAATAAAGAAGGTACCCTTGATCCGAAAAGTTCATTTAGATCCACGATATCCTGTGATATTATTTTACGTCAATTTTATATATAACCCATATCGAGCCCCTCAAATGTTGAATTGATAATAAATGCTACAATTCATTTACGTCGAGTGATTAAATATATTTCTATGAGAATATTGTAAGAAATCTATCAGGTGAAGCAGTAATCGTAAAATACGATTGAACAAATCTTATTTTACCTTTAGTAAATTTTGTCTTAATTGAAACAAGTATGGGTATAATCACAAAAATTTATCGCACCACGACTCGGTGTACGTATAAAGAGGGATAGGAGTGAGCAGCTTCGCTCTTTAGATTTATATCTCGGCGCTTGAATCGAGCTGTCCACTTTGCTCGCCTCCTCCAAGCAAACAATGCCAGAGAGTCATTATCGCAGAGCATCGTTGTCGTCCTGTACTAATGAATAAACTAAACAACTCGTTTCATTTGTCCTGATTGAAAAGTCTTTGTTTCTTTTGGTTCGTTTACTTTATTTCCATCGAAAAACTAATTCGTATTTTTAATATATTGTCACGAGTAACTTAATTTCAGCTATATATAAAAGCTCAATCGAGTTGCGATCCTTTGAGCCTCGATGCTTTTATTTTAGATTGCAGTGGGTGCGTTCGATGGAATCTGCAATTTTTGTAGGACAATCAGTGAACTTTGAAACGGCACATTTGACCTGCGATGAAATGAAAAATCGTGTACGATAGTAGAAAACAAACGATAAAATATCTCACGAAAATAGATTTTGATGAAAATGTAATACAGAACTATAAAATTGGACTCACACAATAAAAGAAAGTGGATACCGCATAATTCTGTGGACTGTTTCCGAAAGTGATAGAATTAATGAATACAACACATAAAATAATACCTTTTACTGTTATGGGATCAATCTTTTGAGAGATGATTGGGATGGAAAATTTATTAACTGAAATTGAAGTTATAACAAGATCATATTTAATTTGATGAAGAGCCAAAAACGTAAAAATTCTTATGAAAATCTCTCGGAAAATCTCGTTGTCTTAAAAATTCTTTTTTTTTTTTTTCTTCTTTTTTTTTCTTGTAACGAGTTTTGAAGATCTAACGAAATCCGAAAAATTGATTGCCAACGTATAAGGTTTAATAAAATTTGATTAATGTACAAGATAAGCATTATAGACTGTTATGGTTTGACTTATACTTTTTCGAATCAAAATTCATTCACTTGACCGATAACTATACAAAACTACATCAGTAGATTGTGGGAGCCACACTGCGCATGTATGTTTTTGCTGAGCAGTTGTATTTGATGGGAATCTTTATACTTCGACAATCTTCCACGTCGTCCTTGGTCTGCAATTGTACTAAAATATCTATTTTAATTCGGGGCAAAGTTTATGTACGATGTTTGATGCGATATTTCCGTTTGTACTTACTTGCTTGACCAGAGAAAACAGTTTTTATAGAATATTATAATAATGAACTACGTTTTAAAGTAATCCAATAAAAACTAAATTAACTAATAGAGATGATGCCTCACATAAACCACAAAATAATATCATGTGTCTCTCTGTCTCTCTCTCTCTCTATGTATATAACATTATTGTATTGTTATTTTGACTTAATTTACTCACAGTTTGTTGAAAAAAAGACAATTACCACTATGTCCTTCCTGCCTTTCATACATTTTTTAAACTTCTATAACCCCTTCTTATTGCATTCATTTTCTTTTATGTAAACTGTATCAATTATCGAAAATATTAGAAACTTTTATGCTATCTATAAAATAGGTAAATAATCTTGTTTATGTTGAAATATATTTAAAAAATTATTCGTTAAAGATCTCATAAAATATCGCACTAAAAAAAACTTGAATGTAAATCCAAAGATATCAAGAGCGGATAACAAGTAATTAATTCTTAGTAAAGTACATAAACCTAAGTTAAAATACAATAATTCACATTAAAACAAAGATAAGGAGAAAACGTTAAAAACGTAGAAAATAACAACACATAAGGGACTCAATAAATTAATAGAAATTAACTAAAATGATTTTCCACAAAGTAAAAATACTTATAGATTTGAAGAAAAGAAAAAAAAACAGAATGATATAGAAAAAATACTCAAAGACAGAGGTATAAAGAAAAAATTTTTAAATAAGTAAGTTTAAAAAAAAAATTAAAAAATGTGCGATATTTACCCAAACTACAATTAAGATATCAACACCTAGAAGAAATAAGGTTCTATCTCAATTTTTCACTAAAAATAATACTTTTTATTCCTAATTAAGATATTACTTTTTCCCACTGAACCAAGAAAATACGATAGTAACGAAATATGTGCTAACCGAAGAAATACAGTTATTAATTGGATGAAAGAATATCAAAGCTGAAAATTACACAAAAATGAAAATAGACATTAAGAGGGTGATATTATGCTTAAAAGAGTACTTAATTTTGCAAATTGTAGAAATATAAATTTAATAACACAGACACAATCAGCCACAGAATAAGAGACAAGAGCAAACAGAAGCACAATACAGAAGAACTCCAGCATGAGATAAAACTAGATTTAGAGCTATAACGTTAAAGTCTTATCACTAACTGGATAAAGCGTAATTAACTGAAGATCAAGAATAAAAATAATAAATATTAACAAAACAGTTATGAAAGCATATAGATCTTCAAAAAATACATTAAAACAAAGAACATTAGTACAAATACAAGAAAATATAAATAGATATTCATCTACAGTCAAAATGATAAACTATGAAATATTAATAATAGTGTAAAGATACATGCACAAACGTACATAAAAAAAAAAAATTTATAATGTACACAGGATAAAGACAGAAAAAAGATTAACTTCCAGTTAGAGAAGATTGGATAGAAAATATTGGAACCAGAAAATTAAAAACCTTAAAAAATGAATACAAGGAAACAAAGATTTGAGACAAATAAGGGGAGACAAAAAATCACATACAAAGATAGAGTGACAGAAAATCCAAAATGGAAACACAAATATAGAGATAAATTTACTTTCCAAAAATCATATAAAAACAGGAAGGCAAGCATACAAATGCAAAAAATGTGCTAGCTTAGACAAAATGATATCAAAATTTAGCAATAAAGAAAAAGAAAAATGAAAAAATGATAGTGTATGTGTAGGTATAAATATAAAAATATATATCTAGAGTTATTGCGAGTATTGAAAATTAAATGAATGCACCAAAGCTTTCATAGATTATTTGGAAACACAGTGATATATAAATAATCATATACATGCATAGAAAAATAAAAAAATTGAAAGTATTAATGATACAGAACAAAAATGTGTTGAGAAAAGAAAAAAGAAAAAAAATATAACTACTAAGGGAACTTAGTCAAAAATATAAATAAATTGCTGCGTCAAATTTCTTTAATACGCATGTAGATATGAGAGATAGGGGCGCCTGGTTCTGACAGTCACTAGTTTCGTCTCACTATTCCCAAGATTTGCTATACTATGCGAACTTACACGCGGTATTAGTTGCACTGGCACCATCACCCCCCACCCTAATACACTGAATAGGTAATATTGGCAGCTACAGAGGTAGAAAGGTGAATGAAAAATAAAAAAATCTCACCGTAATAAATTCCTCAAAGTCGCAGGGAATGAGAACCCGGTCCTTGCACCTGTCAACGCCCACCATCGACAAACGCTCGCTGCCAACACCCGAACCCTCGTCGTCTTCCTGGCTTTCATCACCTGCACTGAGCAGCGCCGAGGTATCGTTGTACCCCGTACCCCTGGGACCTCCGATCCTGAACGAATCGCTGGAACAGGGCGAGTAGGCTACGCTGCACATGCCGTACTCCTGACGCATGCATATCAGGTAGTCGTGGTTGGCTAGGTACCGGCCATTCCCGGGCAGGTAGTTCAGGGTGCGAAGGGTGCCGTTCGCCGATTGATGGTACTGCAAGCAACCAGCTGGAGCGCGTTGTTCGAACCCCAGCTGCACAACCCTGAGCTCCCACATGCGCGATACCAAGCCACCCAGCAGTCGAAAGTTTATCGTCACCGGCTCCTCCCCTACGTCCATGTAGACTGGAAATGGCAAACAAATGGCCCCGTCACTGTCTGGCTATGCGTGAGTCTTTCCCTCCCTAACAGCTCGGAGAAGTACCGTCAGCCGCAGTTCGCTGATGGCCACTCTGTCGTTGGAAAAAAATGGGACGCGACGTCGCACGAGCCCATTACATTCATAATCGACTAATTTTTTAAAGAGAAGCTCTCAACATTTATTATGGTTCGTGGGATAATTGGTCGTATTTGTCTTGCTCCCCGGCGCACTACGTGAAATTTAAATTGCTCGATATTTTCTCTCCTGTCAGGGTAGAAATTACTCAAAAGTGAAGCGCGTATACGTATATGGCTCGGGGTACATTACCAGGATTTTCCTAAAAATTATGGACTCCATTGACGAGAGAAATGTCCGTTACTTTTATAAAATTTACTTTTACGTATTCTATACTTTTTAAAAGTAAAAAACTTTTATTGAATACAACTTTTCAAACGACATTTATTAAGATATGACACTTGCAATCCCCCCTCACCATGAAAATTTACGTATTCTGTTTTAATACCAAATATTCTTTGAGTCCTTATTGGTTAAAATAATCAGTAAATTGCCCAGTAGGCAAAAAACAGTGAGAGAACGAAGCAATCAATGTTGGCATGAGCCGCGAACTATCAGACAACCCACAATCTTTCATAAGGAAATCTAACATCGATCCTTACCTCGGAGAAAGGAGAGACGGAAATAATTCGCCTCCCAAGCATTAGTCTCTGATAACCGCAGAGCTGGTGCGCTAATCTACCTTACATTATTAGATCCCCGCCTCCCTCACGTTCTTACCCACCCTCGCGCGGATCAGGCGAGATTCGAGCGTATAGAATATGGCGAGCACATCCATCTGATCATTAGATCGCGTAATCCACGCGGGTTTTGCGGGCAACGGGGAGTATAGCTCTGCGCGAGACGTGACATGTAGGGAACGTGTCTGTGGGAATTTCAATGGACTACCAACACTGCGTATGATCCCCAAAAATGGTACTCACTGTGCTGGCCGCTGTTCCAACCGCAGAGCTGGAAGGTCCTCTCGCCGGATCTCACCTGCAAGTAATCCAGAGATATTTTCACGTCCCGTTACGTGCCCACACTGGCTTTGTTGTGGCTTCCTGACTTTAACATGCTTGCGGATTTAATTGCTCGGTACGACTGACCCACACCAATTTCGACCTTACACTCGTTTTGCTTCGAGAAGTCAGTGAGCTTGTCTAACATTCAATCTTGAGTTTTTAAATGATTTCAAATGAGATACCTTTTCTGGTGTCTTAGGAAGTTTTTTTTTTTTTTTTTTTTTTTTGTTTTTTTCGGTACTGTGATTTTTATGACAAGTATGTTTCGAAAAATCTGGTTTCATACTACTGTGTATCGCTAAATAAGCAACTGATTTGGGTTTCATAAAGTTTTAAGAATACTATTCCTGTTGACTCTACGTATGTTCTTTCACAGAATATTTGCATCAACTTAAATCCCTTTATTATACTTTAATCATTAATCAAGGAAAAAAAAAAAAAAAGTATTTTTCCGCCCTCGGGTGGTTTTGGGAGGCTGGTACTTCCTCGGGCGAAAAAGCAGTTTTCCGATACTCGTTCGAAAAGTCTCCTTTACGAACCTCGTTACGGACCTCGCCTTCGGCTCGGGCCACAAACCTCTCGGTTCGCAAACAAAGACTTTTCAAACTCGTAGGAAAACTACTATTCTGACCTCGGGCGTTTTTTGAGGGTCGGGTGTGCCCTTGGTAGGAAAAATAAGATTCACCACATAAGTACCATCGCTCCACGGCTACTTTACGTCCCACGGGCCCCAAAATAACCCCAGAGACAATGGCACTTATCCGACGAAAACTACTATTTTCTTAGCAAGGGCGAAAAGTGCAATTTTTTCCCCGGTAAATCACTTTGTTCCCAGAGTGAAAAAGTACTTAGAGCCCTGAGTAAGAAACAAACTTTTTTACCAACGAGATTCAATGATAAAGACAATGGATCGTTGATAATTACCAGCATGACATCGTCGTCACAAACCCCAGTCTTCCGGTTAGGCTGGCCCTGAAAAGTAAGAATAGTCGTGTTTAAAGCAATTTTTGGAAAACTATCGAATTGTTCAGTATATGGAAAACTGCTTGGGTTAAATACAAGAAAACAAAGGGTTAAAAAGGTAAAAAAATAGTCCCTGATGCAACAAAATATCCCAAAAATCTCACAAAGAAAACAGACACCGAGAAAGAAAGGAAGAGGCACGAGGGAAGAAGGGCAGCAGACGTGCAAACAGGTAAAAGGATCGTGAGCGCGGGAGGGAAGGCCAATATTCCGTCCCCATCATAATCATCCATGACAAAAAATTTTTACCTCCCCGCCCAAGCCACTCCCCCGAGTTTTGTCGTCTAACCCCGACGAGTCTTATTGTTTAGCGGTAACAATAGTCTCAGCGTAGAAGCTGGAGCACGGCCCGGTCGACCATTGTAAGCTCGTGGCCTCGGATCCGGAAATCCACTTCCCCCCTCCTCTGTCCCCTTCGCCCTCGTACCTGTGTGTACCCAGCCCGGCGTTCCGCACCAACTCGCTCCCATGTATAATTCAGCGGAACGAAAGGAGCCGCCTCTACGTGAATAAACTCGGTCCTCCCTCGATTGCCTCCTCAAATATTTACGCGGTGAGCCCGTGCGAAAAGAACATATCAACAAAACAGAGAGTCACATTCACCTTTTTTTTTTTTTTTTAAACAAGGAACCTGAGAGTGAAGTCTTTTCCATTTTTTAGTTCTTTTTTTTTTTTTTTTTTTTTTTTTTTTAGTCATAAGTCAGCATTTCTTTCTTGCAAAGAAAAAAGTTTGGCATGATAAAATAGTAATAAGACTGATGTGAGCAGCTCAATAAAGATACTAAAATTAGAAGTATTCTGAAACAAATAAAAAAAAAAAAAAAAAAAAAAAAAATAATAATAATATGAAGTGAAGTAAAAAATATAAAACGATTATTTCGCTATTTTTAAAAGGTCGTACTTGTTTAAAGCGTTAGGTTTACAGGGCAGAAAATTTTGTCTCATAGAATCTAAGGGCCATTTTTTTGCTTGATTAATTTGGCAGCCCATTTTTTGTGAGAAGTGTTTTTGTTGAAAAAAAAAAAATAATAAATAAAAATTTTTTTACTCTTAATTAGTACATTTAAATGGCAAAAACATACAACAAAAAGCCAAAATGCATCTGTCTTATTTATGATTTGGATCATTTTCAATGAAAATCACTTATGATAAAATAAAGGTTGAAACCTGTGTCGATTTTCTAGTGTACTTATATCATGGTACAGTAAAATAAGTTAAAAACAAGCCTTGTTATATCGTAGCGAAAAAACTGTGATATTGTTCAGTTGCATGATTACGTATAAGAATTAAATTTCGAATTTAAAATGTAACTCATTCCTACGCAAAGCTGGTTTTGTCAGATGTTTGTTTTATTAGACGAAGTACAGTGCCTTCATTTATTTTCTTTAAGACGATAGTTGAGATATAACGGAAGCTCTTCAAACCATCCTCCGTCTAGATTTAAAATTTGTTTACCCCATAAATAGACGATTCGTGTATAGTAACACTTTTTGCTTTAATAAAAATAAAAAATTCATTCCCGCAAAAAGGTTGTCTCTAAAAATTGAAAAAAAGCTCATATGAGAGATTTACACCACATTTATTTTGATCAAAAATTTTTTTAATTCTTGGAGAATACGTACATTTTTTAACGTCACAGAAATCCTTACTCATAATTTTTTTGTGAAATTGCAAGTATTATATGGTACATGGTACATGCAAAAAGCAATCTAGGTCGAACTATATAGATATTTCATAAACTTTAAGCGTAGTTTTTGCCGACAGTTTTTTTGGAATTCTTCAATTTTATCCAATTAGAGTATTCCAAGTATTTAATATTTGAATTCAAAGGAGTGACAGTTATTTTTGTAACAATTTTTGAATACATTCCGTTAAAGCAAAAGCTTCAAATTCAAATTTCATAATATCAAGGACGCTAGGCAAGAATTTCGCAATTCCAAAATACTTCCTCACACTATATCTTACGTCAGCGCATAATATATTGCAATGCGCGTGAACTTCCAGCAGCTAGGATTTTAAATCTATAGGTCTTGATATCACGACGCGCAAATATTTTCTCAGTCCCTGAAACTCAAAGCGATTCTTTGCCACGGAACCCACGATTCATCGATTTTTAGCGATCCTGAACTTTCACTCACATCAGCAACGAAGTTACAGGTCGTCCACCACCAGCCACCAAAACAGTGAGAACAACGAAAACAAACACATTACTCGCGCGGAAAACTTTTGGCACCTCACTGACAACTACTAATGCAACCCCGTGCAGCTCGGCTCCCACGAACTTTTTGCACAACTTATTAACGTTCATACGACATTGCAGTTACGCATATAAATCCTACAGGAAGAAGAGGACACTTTATGATAAACAAATAGAGTCGAGAGTTGGCTTACCACGTTGAAGTGGAGAAAATCGATTCTCAGCTGGCTGATTTGGTTGTCGATCTTCTTGACGAGCACCGAGCAGTTCATCGGCTGATCGATGAGGTTCGGGAATCCTGGGCTCGTGATGTACGTCTGGTTGCGCAGCACCTCGCCAGAACAGCTCGTTGTGACTTTAATGGGACATTATTGGTGTGACTTTTACATGGGTTTTTACACGTGAGTGTATTAAATAATCGTGTATACTGGTTTGGAGACTATGTGTTTTAACAGTGCAAAAGCTAAAAATAATTTACGTTTGATACAATAAAATGTTTATATAAGGTATGGATAGAGTAAGAGTTTTTGTATCGATATCGGTACGTTTCAAAGATACACTTGTAAATAACGTCATGTCAATAGCTCGTAGACTATTGACAACAAATTGAAAATGACAAAAATTTATTTCATCCCATCAATTTTAATGATGTTATTTGGCTTGGATGGGAATATTGGTTCCAAAGATATGTCCACAACGTCTGAAGGGATATATATTGAAGTAAAATTTTTAAGACTGTTGGAAATGTTTTTATGTGTTTCATGGGAATTGTGTTAAATAATATCAAATTTTTTATTCAACAAAGCTTCGTTTCTTTTTTTACCTTGTGTAATTTTTTCTTAGAAAAAGTAAACAACTATTTGCAAATTGTTACATTAGTGGTATCAAATATCATATTTCGATGTCGTAGCTATAGCAGGTTCCGCTTTGTCTTTACGGTAATATAAATTGAAGATTTTCATGTTTAATAATTTAATCTAGACTTTCTCAAAACTTAAAGGACAGATATTTTTGTGGTGTTAATTCTTCATAAACGTAGCAGTTTAAAACAACGTGAAATGTAAAGTAAGTACTTAAAAAACAAATTGATTTATTTACAGTCGTAGAATAATAGTTGTTGTTTGTTGAATGAAAGGTTTCGTCATATAGCCGTAACTGATTTTTGTCGAAACTTTTGAGTTTGGAATTTTAGGTTTGAAATTTTCGTCGAAATTTTGGTCTTTGAAGTTTTTGTTTTCAGAATTTTTTTCTTTAGAAAAAAAGTTTGTCTTAGCCCATAACTCGTAATAAGTTTTCGGCACACATATTTTCTCACATCAAAAACATGTACGGTGGCTCAGCGAAATTCTCGTTAGCTAAAAACCTTACCCCCTCCCTCCACAGTCCTTAGTTGGAATCTAACGGCAAACCGGAAACGCCTGCGAAGGGCAATGAATAATCATTAGTGCAATCATTTGATTGGATTTTTAATGGAGTTCTAAGGGCTCTTGAATGAAGATACTTGGCAAGAGAAGAGTGGGAGTTGGGGTGATCGTTAATTAGACTGAAGATTATACACTTGAAGGTCAATATTGCAACGTTTGATGAAAGTACGAATAATCTCGTGGAGCAAGTCGATTTGACAAGTACCGAGTGTACGGAGGAGGTCTGACTCCCGTCGAGCATTGGTGACCAAAAAGCAAGAGCCGAACCATTTCAGTACGCGAAATATCCACTACAACGCGTATAGAGCAGCATACACTGTGTGGGTGTCATAAACCACGACCATAACCCCCCGCCACCCCTCCGGGGAGGTGCCTCTTGAATTATTGAAAAAGCGTGTGCGAGCACCCCGGAGATCCATATTGGGTTGGAGCTCAACAATAAAACGCGTGTGAGTGTATACATGCAGTGCAGGCGCGTAGCGACGTGTATGCGCACATTCGTTGCGGGCGAAAGGTTTTTTTCATTGGCCATATCTCCCTCCTCCCCCGACGGCCGTCAAGGTATTTTATGCTTTATGGCGTGAGGTTTATGGCCGTTTTGATTGCGAAGCTGTTTCTCCTTTTGGAAGGAAGAAAGAAAAAGTGTACCGGAGATGCTTTTTGACTGTAACGCGGGCACTTGGAGAGATATGGAATATTCGGGATTTCATGACCACAAGTGAGTCTCGCACTGTCTAGGCGCGATTACGGGATCTAATGGTATACAGTGCACGTATTTTTTACTCGAGTTTTTTGGAAAACATACTTATTGTTTTATATTAAGCTTTGCAACGAGAAGACATTGTAATGGGCCGATTATAGAAAAGGAAAAGTGTCGAGCTCTCTACGATGCTCACTATTTTCGTAGTGGTATGGACATATGCCAATATTCGCATGTGCAGAGTTAATGCTACATCAGCAAGACGCGAAAATAGTATCACTTTTGCTTACACGAAACTCGATGCAAGGTGTAGGACTTTCGTGGATCTGACGACATATCGGTTACTTCGAGAATAGATTCGGACGAAAAATTTTTCATTCACTTCGCCAAAAAATACGTGAAAATTTTCTGGAAACTGGATGAAAACTCAGAGACGTATTTTCTCCCACGTATACGGAACGCAGCGGAGGCTCGTCATATTTTAGAAATTCTCGTTAAGCTTTCGTCGAGTACTCGGTACGTTGTACTATATTACACGTTCCAAGCTCGCCCCGAGAGCTGTATTTACGCGGCCCATACGTAAATGCACTACGGACCGTTCCGTAGTATAGCGAATCAAAATAAGTATTATTTACGGCAGTGCAGATGGAGTCGAGGGTTTTTCCAATATTCCTTGTGGAGCTTTAAACATATTTCATTTTCAAAAGTGCCCTTTCAATACTCCCGATTCGGGAGCTCGTCATTCGATGCACAGGGTATTGCGGATTAAATGAAAATAAGTAAAATAAATTATCCAACGAATGAACTACCAGAGCAACGTGAGTCGTAAAAACAGATTGCCTGCAAAAATACAAATATTATCTCTGGTAATATTACCCAGCAGCACCTAATTTTCGATTTCTAAGGGCGCATTGCGAGGATGGGATCTTCAGATAAAACAACGAGACGACGCGCTAATTCAAATATTCATAAAAACATGTTGCTTATGGCCTTTTGCTTTTAATTCGCTGATGTAGCATCGACCGAGCGACCCCCGTGCCATCACAATACTGTTTTCCTATCGAAAGATCCCGAAGGTTAGTATTAGCAGTAACAGCGCCTCCTATATTTAGTTTCGGGTGCTTTTAAGAGCTGAGAGCATAATTTTACGACTTGCAACCCTCGGAAAAATTCGAAATTTGTTTCAAGGGCTCATGTCATAAATCATCGATGCTTCACCTACACTCGAGGAAAAAGTAATTAGTGGAAATTAATTTTCTATCCACAAGTGAACAATTTCGTTTAAAACTTTTTCAGATGAGAAAGTAACGACCCACCAACCAAAAAATCATCGTAAATCACATAGTACTTAATAACGTTTTTGTTGTGAAAATATAAGAAAACTCGCAGTGCAGGGAGCTCCATTGTATAGGAGACTCGCCCGAGGATAAGAGTAACGACGGAAAAGCGAAAGAAAACGTAACAAGAGGGAGTCAGACTGGCAGATGGATGATACACGAGCAAGCAAGCCGTCCTCACGCTTGAAGTGTATATACTTACTCTTCCAAAGGTAAACCAAAGGCGGCCGGCTACTGCCGCTGATGAGCATATAAGTATATACAGGGGGTCGTCGAGAGTGGCTGCATTCGACTCCCCGCTTTACGTAACGAGGCCAGCCTCCCTCTCCCGTGTACGCGGCACCTCCTGGCCGCCCTGTCTTGGAAATACATATATATTCTCTATGACGTGCAACTGCTGCTCTTTCTTTCCCTCTCTGCCACGCTGTGCAACCCCCGTTCAGCGAGGCCAGCCAGCGAAGGGAATAAAACGACGAGCTTGGTATACAGCATTTTATGTAGGTAGATAAAAGTGTGTTTGCCCACGAGCTCCTATACATATATACGTCCGCGATAGCAGTGCCCGGCAAGGAGCTTTAAATATTCAGGCAGCTTTTTCTTCTCTCCTGCCTCCGTCGTCTTTTTGTTTTCTGCCCTTCCTTTATTATATCCACTCCCTTTTTTTTCATCCAAGTTTCGGTCACTATGCACCCATGAATGTACTTTTGAGGATACTTGGGCGCCACTGCTCATACTTAACGCGATACTTGTCTCTCTCTTTTTCGCTATTTTCTCTTTCATCATGAGGCAAAAGTTGTCGAAAGGATATAGTAATGATTTACAAGCTTTTACTTTTTCATGTGCTTTCGTTTAATGTCTGTCTATTTGTCTGACAGGCACTGCGTACGTCTGCTACGTGAAATAAAATTCTAGTGATTGAGTTTCAGAATACGTCTATACGACTCAGTCATTCGAAACTTTTGCTCCAAACTTAGATTCTGATGTCCATGTAGTATAGAGTAATTTTCTGTTTGCAAATTATTTACTCATAGAACTTTCTCTGAGGGTTGTTTCGACACCTTATCTTACGAATACATTTCGAATTGACTATGTAAAATAACAATTTTGTCCACTAACTTCAGTCTATAAGGTCAAATTGTAGATGAAAAAGGAAAAAATGGGACAATATTTGACTTGCACAGTGTAAATGGACTTGTAGTGTATTAAAAATGGAACTATTCCAAAACGAAGGTTCATCGGTATATTTACAATTATCTTGACATGAGTACGAAACGTAAGTAGTTAACAGGTAAAATATAATAAAAATAGAGATAGTTAAAATAGAGAAGATACAGAATTACGTTCTACTTCGTAACCCACTTATCATCAAGACTAAATTAAAATGTTTAATTGGCAAAAATCGATTGTCTGAGTGACGGAGCCATTCCTTTTTAATTGACAAACTTTCTTTTAATGAACTTATAATTAGATGAAAAAAAATTATTCCCGGGTCCCGTGTGTGATACAAACAAACGTCTGGGTTGCTCAAACAATAGATGCTTAAAAAATTTTAACATTACTTTTAAAAACTAAAAGGACAATCAAATATGTAAGAAATAACGTTTATTAAATTCTTTAAGACTCAAACGATTAAAGGTATTATATGATAACTTTTCATAAGTTTAAAAAAATTTCCTTTTATAAACTTGATGATTACCAATCAAAATTATTTGAAATTACAGTGTAGAGAAAACTTCGAATTGTTTTTAAAAAATAGAAAATTAGTCTACGAATACTTTCTATTACTTGAGTCCTAATTGAATGTATACAGAGCATAATAGTGTCAATAAATAACAAGTGGATTAAAAAATAAAATTATTTTCTGAGTGTCATGATCATGTGTGACTGTGATGTC